CAGTGGTACACACCTGCATCGCAACAGCTGGGGAGTATGAGGCAGAAAGATCCCGAGTTCAAAAACCAGCCTCAGCAACTTAGCAAGACCTTAAGCAACTTAGTGTAAAATTTAAAAAGGGATGGGGATGTGGCTCAGTGGTAAAATGATCCTGGGTTACATCCTCTATACAAAAAAAAAAAAAAAACACAAAACAACCACAACAACAAAAAACACTGCACCAGAGGATCTAGCCAGTGCAATCAAGTAAGAAAAAGAAGTAACATAATGCATTCTGCTGTCATGTAGTTAAAAAATAAAATCAATTAAAAAAAAAAAGAAGTAGTAACAGGCATAAAGATCAGAAAGAAGTAAAACTGTTTTTATTAGCAGATGGCATGATGATTTATGTAGATTCTGGAAGCTACCAAAAAATCTACGAGAATAAGTCAGTTTAGCAAGGTTGCAGGATTCAAGTTCCATATCAAAAAATCAATAGTATTTATGTTAGGTGCAGCAGCACAGACCTGTAATCCCAGCAACTTGGGAGGTTAAGGCAGGAAGATATCAAGTTCAAGACTAGCCTCTGCAACCCAGTGAGAACATGTCTCAAAATTAAAAAGGGGACAAAGCTCTAAAAGGCTGGGGGACATAGCTCAGATGCAGAGTGCCCTGGGCTCAATCCCTAATACCAAGAAAAGGAGGGGGAAGGAAGGAGAGAAGGGAGGAGAGACAGAAGAAAAAGTATTTATCTATCAGGAACAATATACTGAAATGTAAAACAATATCATCTTATGGAAGTATTATTGACAAGAGCTAAAAGGTATATGTAACCCAAATATCTATAAATGCATTAATAGATAATCAAAATGTGGAATACTGATAGAATTGTTCAGCCTTAAAAAAAAAATTCTGACATGCTACAACATAAATGAATTTATGCTAAGTAAAACAAGCCAGTCACAAAATAGAAATACTATTTGATGATACTATATGTTTCTACTCCCATGAATCACCTAGAGTAGGCAAACTTATAAAGACAGAAAGAAAGTAGAATGAGTGGTTGCCTGGAATTGGGTACAGAATTTCAATTATTCAAGATAAAATATTATAAACGTTTCAATACCACTGAACAGCACATTAAAAAAAACATTAAAATGGTAAATTTATATTATATATATTCACCACAATTAAAATAGCTTTTAAGCTGGGCATGGTGGCACACATACAATCCTAGCTACATGGGAGGCTGAGGCAAAAGAATCACAAATTCAAAACCAGTCTGTAATCCCAGCAGCTCAGGAGGCTGAGACAGGAAGATCACAAGTTCAAAGCCAGCCTCATCAACAGCGAGGCACTAAAAAACTCAGTGAGATCCTGCCTCTAACACAAAATAGGGCTGGGAATAGGCTCAGTGGTCGAGTGCCCCTGAGTTCAACCCCCCAGTAACCCCCACACCCCCCCCAAAAAAAAAAAAAAAAAAAAAAACAGCCTGGGCAATTTAGTGAGATCTATCTCAGAATAAAAAATTAAAAGATCTGGGGATGTAGAGTACACCAAGTTCAATCCCTATTACCACAAAACAAATAACAATAAAGCAGATTTTAAAGATTAAAAAGCCATAAATAAAATTAAGCCAGGCATGATAGCACACACCTGTCATTCCAGTGACTCAGAAGACTGAGGCAGGAGGATTGCAAGTTTGAGGCCAGCCTTGGCAACTTAGCGAGGCCCTAAGTAACTTAGCAAGATCCTGTTTCAAAATAAAAAATAAAAAGGACTGAGGATGTAGCTCAGTGAAAGAGTATCCCTGGATTCAATCCCCAGTACCACCAAAAACAAAAACATAAAACCTTCTCTTCAAAAACACAATGTTAAGAGAATTAAGTTGCAAACTACAAACTGAAAGATTTGCAAAACAGATACCTAACAAAGGGCTTATATCCAGAATACAAAAATCTTTTCAAGGAACTGGGGGGTTGTGGCTCAGAGGTAGAGCACTCGCCTACCATGCATGAGGCACTGGGTTCGATCCTCAGCATCACATAAAAATAAAATAAAGATATTGTGTCCTCCTATAACTAAAAAATAAATATTTAAAAAAAAACTTTTCAAAACTTAACATTATAAAAAACACACAATTAGAAATGGGTAAACAATCTGAAGAGACACATCACCAAAACTGTAGTTTGAAAATAAGGACATGAAAAGATGTTCAGCATTAGTCATTAAGGAAATACAAACTGAAACTATAATCAGATACCATTACAGACACATTAGAATGTCTAAAATTAAAGAGACTAACCATATGAAGTGCTGGTTGTATACCAAATTGTTCAACCACTTTGGAAAACAGTCCTGCAGTTTTTTGTTTTGAGCTGGGGTTTTACCGGGCTGCCCAGGCAGGCTCTGAGCTACTGGGCTCAAGCCATCTTCCTGCCTCAGCCTAGACTACAAGCATGTGCCACCATGCCCAGTTTTGTTTTTTTTTTTAATATTCTTTTAGTTGTTGATGGGCCTTTATTTTATTCATTTATTTATATGCTGTGCTGAGAATCTAAACCAGTGCCTCACACATGCGAGTGCTCAACCACTGAGCAACAATCCCAGCCCTCTCATACCTCTTTTAATTCTAGGTATTTTTTCATTTATTTTAAAATTTGTAAAAATTAAATTTATGATTTAATAAAGAAATAAACACATACAGAACAAAAAATAAATAAATTTATTTAACTACTTCATAAAAACAAAAATTGTACAAATTAATGGGGAAATGTGATCAATATGCCAGTTTCTTGAGAGCTAAATGTTTACCTACTATCCTACTATATGATCCAATCATTACAGTCCTGGAGATTTACCCAAGAGGAAAAAAACACCATATATCTAAACAAAGACTAAGATAAATGTTCATAGAAGCTTTATTTGTAATACCCAAAACTGAAAACAATCCAACAGGTAAATGAATAGATACTGTGGCATATGCGTGCAACAGCATACTCAGCAATAAGAGGATAAACCTCTGATATATGCAACAATGAGGATGAATTTCAAAAGTTAATACGCAAAAGCCAGACCCTAAAAAGGGCACATGCCATTTGATTTCCATGTACACAAAATGCTAGATACTACAAACTCAGATTGACAGAAAGCAGATCAGTGTATTACCTGAGGAGGGAACAACAGAAGAGAGGTGAAATGAATTCCTAAGGACAAAAACAAACAAACAAACAAAAAAAAAACCCTGGGCATATTCACTACTTTGTTAATGGTGATGGCTTCAAAGGATACACACAATGTTGAACTAATTAAATTGTATATTGTATGTTTTAAGTATGTTCAGTTTACCATGTCATTATACCTTAATAAAGCTTATTAAGAACAAAAAAAAAAAAAAATCTTCCAGAATAAGCACAGAGCAGGGTGGTAATCTCAGACTTAAGAGATATGATCCTGTCTCCCCAACATCTGTTGCTGATCAGAGATTCCGAGAGGTGGAAACCAGGCAGGTACCACTGCACTCAGAACTCTGAAGGAGTCATGGCCCACTGAATAGACAAGGAAACAAACCCAGAGATGTTATCTTACCCAAGGTTACAGAACTAGGAATCAATGGTATCACCAAATCAAAACAGATAAGCCTAATACTAAAACCTTTCTCCTTCTCTTCATCTATCACAAATTCAAAAAAGTAGACCTAAACAAGTAGGTGGAGGTGTATATATGCTTGTGTATACGTGCTTAGAACAGACAATTCTCTCCTCTGAAGCCAGAGAGCCAGAACCCCTCTGGCCATTCCAGAAGAGCCAGGCACCATGGACACTGCAGCTGAATTTCCGGTGAGTGTTCGGGAGGCAGTGTGACAGGCACGGGATGAAGCTGACAGACGAGTTTGGGTTTGCATGAGTAGCAGGCTAACCGGCTTCTCCAGCAGTCCCAGCCACCACCACCACCACTCCCTCTGCCTCCACAGGAAAGCTGTATCTCCACCCAGTATAGTTCAGGAGCACTGGGGTCTGGGAGTTATCTGACTCAGCCACTCAAGGTTGAGGCAAACATGGGTCCTGGTTAAGGTCCTGAAGCAGGCAGCAACTCTGCATGCATCCCTACCTGAGAACTACAGAAGCCACCAACAACCCTGACAGTGCCAGGAAAGGAGTGAACAGCCCTAGAAAGATAAAGCCCATAAGCTGCTAACCAAGCCCCCAAACCACCCCAGGAATGAGCAGGGCTGGCATTCAGGCCACATGGGTCAATAAGAAGTCAAATCTAGCCTCTGGCCCTGGCCTCTGTAAGCCCCACCTCTAGGCTGGGCCAGGAGTGGGCCCTACAGGATGAAGGGCCCACAACACCACAGCTACCCATCTGTCAATCTCCACTGGGTGAGGTTAAGGCCTGCACCACAGACACAGTCCAGAGTGCAGCAGTGCAGGTACACCTTCCTCTCCCACCTTTTTCACATTGGGATCCCAAGGTCCCACTCAGACAAAAGACCTCACAAGTTGCTCTCTGCTCTTCTCCCCACTTTTCAACCTTGGCTCTGGGCCATTAGTATAAATCAACCATGACAAGACCTCATGGCAGGAGCAGATCAGGCTCGTGCCCAAGCTACTGGCTGCCACACTTACATCTCAGCTCATGTGGCCAACAGGGTTACAAGGGTCTGATGCCTTCTTCCTTTCTTAGTGGCTGGAGGCAACTTGTGCTGATCACAACATGAACACTATTGTGTGGAGGCACCCCCAAATTCCATCAGTAGACAGGTGGAGGGGGTAATTACTTCCCCTGCAACTTAAAACCTGGGACTATCCCTGTTTTCCCTCTGCCCAGACCTGGCAACCACCCAGAGGATCTCCTATCCAGTCTAGGCTAGGAGATGGCTGCTCCATCACTCCATTCGCTATATACATTACTGGAGGGAAACGTCAACCTAAAAGAACACAAAAGCAGTTTGGAAAGCACCCTCTTTTGGGCTTCCAAACACATCAACTCCTGCTAAGAACAGAACTGGGCTTCCTTACCTGCCTCTTTCAGCTGCCTCCCTGCAGAAAAATCTTCGATGATGCCCAGGAGGAAGAAGCAGAAGAGGATCCCGCAGGCCACTTCCTGCCCTTGGGCAATGGCTTCAGAAGCTCTCAGGTTCACAGTGCTGTTCTGTGCCCCAATCCCCAACCTCCTACATCTTGTACTCCCTTCGGCCCTGGAGGGATCCCAGTGCCAAGCTGGTGGCCTGCGGGTTACCACCTCCTCCTACGCCTGCGCCTGCGGGTCCTGTGCCCCTCGGGGGGTCCCTCTCCCTCCTGGGACCCCTTCCCGTTCAGATACGTTTCCTGGACAGCCCAAACCACTTGTCCCTCCTGCACACCTGGCAGCCAATTTGCTTCCTGCACTCCCAGGCGCCCTTCCCCGTCAGGCCCCTGGGGGCCCACAGGCCGGGCCCTCCCCACCAGCTCAAGAGTGTCTTGGCGCGCTGGGGCCGCTCCCAGGACCCCCGCCTCGAGTCTGAGGTGCCCGCAGCTCTCCCAATTCTGCTCACCCTGCTCGCCCGAACTTTCGAGCCCCTCCCCGCGCTCACAGAAGCCGTCCCCGAACCCCGGCAGTTGCTCAGGCTGCTGCAGCAGCCTGCGTGGGCTCCCCTCCCCCCGTTCCTGCACCCCGGCGCGGGCCTCGCCCCGCTCCTGCACTGCGGGGCTGCCTCCCCCCTTCTCCTGGTGTTGCTTGCGGGGCCCCAGACCCTCCTCCTGCGCCACAGGCCAGCCGGCCGAGCCCTTCCACCCAGGCGAATGCCTCCAATCCACGCCGTTTGTCGGCCCCCACACCACTCCCAGGTTGGGCTCGTGCCCGCGACCGCCCCGCTCCTGTACCCCCAGACCCACCCCGCCCTCCTCCTGCACGGCCGGACCCACCCCGCCCTGCTCCTCCACGCCGAGCTTCAGCCCGCGGAGCTGCTGCGGGCCCCAGCTGAGAACCCCGACTCGTTGCGGCTGTTGCTCCGGCAGCGCTGGGCTAAGCCCGCCACGCTCCTCCTGGGCTCCCCGCCGGGGACCCCCCGCCCCCAAAGCCCAGCGCACTCGCCTGCCCCCGAGAGGCCGCGCGCTCCCGCCCCTCCAGATGGTGCTGCCCTAGGCGCCCGCTCACACCGCCCCCCGCCCGGCTCCTTCCGCCTCAGCCCCCAGGGGAGGGGGCTGCAGGGTCCCCACCCCAACCGCTTCACGGCCGCCTCCGCGTCGCGAGCCCTCCTCCCCACCCTCGCCTCCGGGCGTTGACGTCGGCCGCCGGGCGCCGCGCCCCGCGCCGGCCCCCGCAGGTGCTGCGGCCCCGCGCGCCGGCCGTCAACGCGCGAGCGTCCACCCGGTTTCCCGGAGCCCGCGCGCGCCTGCGCCGCCCCGGGGGGGGGCGGGACCCGGCTGATTCGGTCCGCCCTCTTAAAGGGCCCAGGCCCATTACTTCTCCACCGCCTCCTCCTCTGGGCCCCCCGGATCCACCCCCTATTTTCCCACCCGCCACTGGCTGGCTCTGGCCTTCCTACAGTACCAAAGGCAGGAAAGGTGAAGCGAAAGTTGGGAGGTCTCACTGAATTAAGGGAGATGGGGAGCACTGGAATGCGAGTCTGCCATCTAAATAGCGGTTCAGCAGCTGCTTATTTACCCTGTGAGTTAAAATGTCACCACCAACCTCAATTGCTTGGCTCTAAGTGAGGAGGGTGGTTTGTAAGGTTTCCAAGGTCACAACCAGTGAGGGTGGGACTCTAATCCTAATCTCTGTAGCAGCCTGGGAGTCTAGGAACCTGGGCCTTCTGCACTCTTTCCCTAGGCTAAGGAAGGGATTCTGAACAAGGGAGAATTTGTCTCATGCCTGTGACATTTCTCTCTGGGGCCTTGAGCAGAAATAGTCCAAGCAAAGGGGGGGCCTTTTTCCTGCATTGCTCCCTCACAAGTCCTCTTCTCCCTGCTCACATACACATATAAGGAGAAAACTCAAATTTCTGATTCTTAGTAACATTGCAGCCTGGAAACCCAGGTCCAACCCTCAATGAGGCAGCCCTAGGCAGCAGGACTTAGAACCCACAGACTTAGGGCCACTCAGCCCTGTTACTGTCTCTTTCTCATCTATAAAATGGGTATAACAAAGCAACTCAAGAATGAATGAAGCCAGGTGTGGTGGCCCATGCCTGTAATCCCTTCGGCTCAGGAGGCTGAGACAGGAGGATCATGAACTCAAAGCCAGCCTCAGCAAAATCAAGGTGCTAAGCAACTCAGTGTGAACCCCTGACTGTAAATAAAATACAAAATAGGTCTGGGGATGTGGCTCAGTGGTAGAGAGCCTCTGAGTTCAATTCCCAGAAAAAAAAAAAAAAAAAGAATGAAGGATTCAACATCAGGGAATAGGCAGGGGTAACACTATTTACCCCTTTGATAAATTGGACTTCCTCTCCCTTTACCCCAATTCTAAAATCTGAAGAAAAGCCGCACTTAATGATTGCTAACTGCTAAATTTTTCTTTATATATGTAAAACCCAAATATCTGGTGATCTTCAGATAACATTAGAATGTGCAATGTTATTCTAGTCCTGTGTATAAACAAACCCAAAGTAAGTTGCTATGAGGTTTAACTAGCAGAAAAGTAATGTTTGTCTAAAGAATTACCAGAACTAGCCCCAGGAGATCAAGGCAATGGAAGTATTCTAGCCAGAGGGAAAAAACGGACGATTCAATAGATGGCAGAAGACTTAACTGCTCAGCACTTAACCTTTCTGCATTTTATACCTCTGATCCTCCTTTCCCTCTCTATAAAAGTCTTTTCATGTACCTGAGTTCCCCAATATATTCTTTTGGTGGGGGGATAATAACTTTTCTCACCCCATCTCAGGATACCAGTCCTTGAATAAATCTGATCTCTTTCTATCAGCTCTTGACTTTAGAGTATTGACTTTTGAGTGGTGATCAGATGGACTTAGGTCCAGTAAAAAACACATTGTCCAGCATTAGGCCCAAAGACCATAGCCAAAGGACAGTAAGACAACCAGAAAGGGAGTGAGTTCCAGATACCTACACAGGGCCTAGTCTGGGTGGGTGAATGTGGGTTGGTGCCTTGCCCTGTGAGGCAAGCAAGACAACTTTCTACTTACTTACTTGATAATACTATGTGTGATAGGATCCCTTCCCCATGGAGCCATGGAAGTGAATACACCCTACCATAGACAGAGTCTTTCCCTTGTTGCCTCCTCTCAGGAAAAAAAAGTCAGAAGTTCAATAGATTTGGGTGAAAAAACAGGGATTCTTCCAACCTCTCTCAGCTACATACCTCAGTAATGATAATCATTAAGGTTTAAGGAACCTAATTATGGATAGGGCATTGCACTTTGCATTTATTCTCATGCAACCACCACAGAAACCCAGCAAGATGCATATTATCCCCCCTCCCCCATTTCACAGATGATAGGCTCCACCTTTAAGTGACGCTGGGGTCACAAAGCTAGCAGTAGAAAAGCCAGAAATCAAATCCAGTTTTTTGACTCTAGTCTATGCACTGAATCACTAAGGCACAATAAAGCAACATTAACCTGGAAAGCTTGCTGTAAGAAGTATTAGGACTAACTAGATTTCAGTGGTCAATAGATGCAAACAACTGATTTGGAGCAAATTATCCTGCAAGCTTATCGAGCATCGAATCAAACAAAGCAAGAGGTCAAAACAGCTCCTAGGTGATTCTCTTCAGGGAGTCCAGACTCCCATTCTTCCATTTCTCCTCCAGTTTCTCTCTTTTTTTTTTTAGAGAGAGAGAGAGAATTTTTTTAATATTTATTTATTTTTTTAGTTTTTTTCGGCAGACACAACATCTTTGTATGTAGTGCTGAGGATCGAACCCGGGCCGCACTCATGCCAGGTGAGCGCGCTACCTACCACTTGAGCCACATCCCCAGCCCCTCCTCCAGTTTCTCTCAAGAGCCAGATCCATACTTCTTCTTCTTTTTTTTAATGCTTATTTTAATTATAGGTGAACACAATACCTTTATTTTATTTTTATGTGGTGCTGAGAATCAAACCCAGTTCCTCATGCGTGCTAGGCAAGTGCTCTACTTCTGAGCCACAACTCCAGCCTCCATATTTCTTACAAATACCTAGTGCAGGATTACCTGTAGCTTTAGACTTGAGAAAGAAGAAAGTCTCCTGCTTCATCTTCTCCAGTTCTTCATCAACTCCTAGACTGTGCTCATCATACCATTGAACTCTGGGGCCATGCTGGGAGATGTCTTTGAGGTTGTCTCCATCTCCACATCATTCTGTAACTCAAGTACAAGTGGCCAGAAAAACACCTAGGAAGTCCGCTTTGCCAGCATGAAGCTGACAGTGTAATGGAGAAAAGAGCCTCCGAGTAAAAAAAAGCAGAAGGCTCAAGAAATTTAGGAGGTGGCTGCAGGGGAAACCACAAGCCTCTAAGGTACCTGAGCCAGTCTCTTCCCAGATTTGGAACTTTAGGAGAGCTGCCCACAGCAGAATGACTATACAAGAAGAAGGGCTTAGGTCTAGTTCTAAACAGAGGGGGCCCAAGCTGCCAGAAGGAAGCTTTTGGTGATTCCCTGAAAAACCTCCACCATGAGGTGGTTGCCCTTCAGAGTAAGCGAGAAGGCAGGGCAGGCACTGCAGGGGTGATGGGCAGCCCAGCTCACACCTGCAGCAGATGCTTAGCCAAGACTGCATCCTGCTACTGAGTGAAAGTTTTTTCTTTCTGGTTTGCTTCCCTACCACTACCACCCAATTTTTGTTTAAATTTATTTAAGATCACGACCTTACATTTTCCAGAGAGTAAATACAAAACAAGAAAGACTTGGTTTCAAATATATAAACAATGTGCTGGAGTTTAAAGCATTACTTATAACATTGTTCCAGAAGAATGTCAGCTTACTCCAAGACACTTCAGTATTCCTCAGGAATAAACATGATTTCTCTTGCCCTCCCACTGGGATGTTCTCAGTATACATCACTGCTCCTGCTCTTTGACATATTTTCCATGTAGAAGATATGGAGCCTGGAAATCATGCTGGCAGTTGGAGTAGGCCATCCCCAATCCCGTGTGTAAGGATGGCCTTAGACCTTAGCCTAAGCAACTCCATTTTAAAACTCCAGTTTAAAACCTGCAGTCTCACAAGGCACACCTACAGAGCTCTCCAGTATGGCCCTCAGGCACAAACAAATCACTTCTCCCCACCCTGACAAACTCAGAGTGAAGTCTTTGGCATGTTATCATTGCCCTGATAAGGAGCAAGAAAATCAGGGAGGGGCCACCAGACCAGCTGATTTAATGTCAGGACCAAAGGCATCACTGTGAAATCCTGTGATAGCAGCTGATAGGGATTGAAAGGTCGGTCAGAAGCCCCAAAATTTAGTATAAGTGATGGAGCAAATGAACAGACATTCAGCCAGCCGACACTGATGCACACAAGCCTGAGAGCCTGATGAGGACCTGGACTGACATCCCAACTCTTCTCATCTGCCTGATCCTCTGCGTTGTTCTTGCCATTCTCAAACTCTACAGCAGCCTCTTGATTCTAGTGAGAAAAGGACTTCTCCCTATGACCCTCTCCTCAGATGGCCATCAGCTCCACCCTAGGAGAAG